ACACTCGGTATTAACATTAATGGAATACAAAGGACAATACTGGCTCACCAACGCCAGGATGGTCAGGTATCAGGGAATGCGATGTGAGAATCCACGCATTCACCTAGAAGTAGTACGGACCCTGAACCCTGCAACCCTATTGCCTGTCGGGCCAGGCCAGCAAGACCATGACTGCACTGAAGTCATGGATGAGGTGTTCTCCAGCAGACCAGACTTGCAGGACAAGCCTCTCAAAGACCCCGATGCTGAATATTTCACTGACGGTAGCAGTTTTATAGAAAGGGGGGAACGTCTTGCAGGATGTTCCGTGGTGACTCTAAACTCTGTCATTGAAGCAGAGGCCCTGCCGAAGGGGACTTCAGCACAGAAGGCAGAGCTAATTGCTTTAACCCGAGCCCTCCAACTGGCGGCAGGGATACGTGTAAATATATACACAGACTCTAAATACGCCTTCACCACTCTCCACGTACATGGGGCCTTATATAAGGAGAAGGGTCTAATAAACTCAGGAGGAAAGAACATAAAATATGGTAAGGAGATCCTTGAACTCTTCGATGCCGTGTGGGCCCCTAAAAGTGTGGCAGTCATGCATTGCCGGGGACATCAAAGGGGGGATACCACGGCTGCACTGGGAAACCGAAAGGCTGACCGAGAGGCGAAGCTAGCAGCTTCCAAAGGAGCCATAAAATCAGCGGCTTTAACTGCTGCACTGTTCCCTAACCCACTGACAGAGTGGGACCCTAATTACTCACACCATGAAAGTACCTGGTTGAAGACTGAGAGTGGCAACTACCTCCCAGGTGGATGGTGGAAATGTGAAGATGGCCGAATAGCAATTCCTGAGGCCTTAGCTCCAGCCTTTGCGGAGCAGTTCCATCAGGAAACTCACATCGGCCGGACAGCCCTTGAAACAATGTTAAGCCGTATTTTTCCATCCCTCGGCTCTCCAGCACAGCCCGAGTGGTATGTGAGCAAGGTGAAACCTGCGCCCGAAACAACTCACGTCAGGGGCCCAAGGCCGTCCCTGGAGTACAGAGCGTTGGGGGAGCCCCCTTTGAAAATGTGATGGTGGACTTCACGGAGCTCCCCCGGGTTCGGGGATGTAAATACCTGTTGGTGTTTGTATGTACTTTCTCAGGCTGGGTAGAAGCTTTCCCTACCGAACAGAAAAGGCACATGAAGTGGCCCGACTCCTTCTCAAGGAAATTATCCCACGATTTGGGATCCCTATCACTATTGGTTCAGATAACGGGCCAGCGTGTGTAGCTGAGGTGGTGCAGCTGGTGGCAAAGGGGCTAAAGATAACCTGGAAGTTACACACGGCACACTGACCCCAGAGCTCCGGAAAGGTGGGACGAATGAACAGAACCTTGAAGCCGCAATTAAGTAAACTGTGCCAGGAGACCCACCTGCACTGGGGACTAGGTGTTGCCAATAGCCTTGTTAAGAATCAGGTGCAGCCCCAATAAGCAAACGGGGCTTTCCCCTTATGAAATCCTTTATGGGCGCCCTCCCCCAATTGTTAAAGGGATAAGGGGAGACTTAAATGAGATAGGCAATTTAACCCTAAGGCAGCAATGCAGGCTCTGGGCTCTACTCTAGCCACTCTACACCGGTGGGTTAAAGAACGATTGCCTGTGAGTCTGACCACAGATACTCACTCCTTTGAGCCAGGAGATGCTGTATGGGTAAAAGAGTGGGATGTCCAACCACTCAAACCTCTTTGGAGGGGCCCGTTTACTGTCATTTTGTCCACCCCCAATGCAGTAAAAGTAGCAGAGGTTGGTCCCTGGATTCAGCACAGCAGAGTGAAGCCGGCATCCGGGGACTGGGAGTGCATTCCTGATCCATCCACACCGTGTAAGCTGACCATACGGAAGAAGCGAGCTGCCATGGCGGAGACTCCAACGGGAGACTACAGCCCTGCTTTAGTCACTCCGGAAGCTGACTAATCTACGCACGGCAGAAGCTTGAGGAATCGCCGGTCCGAAGAAATAAATAGACTGTCCTTATTTCTTACATCTGCCTCTTACTATAATGCACTGTCACCCCTTGTCTCTCACTATTACTGCAATTTTCGCTTTACTTCTTGCAATTGGATTGGCGGAGGTTGCCCCAGCCAGCTGGAAATGTGGCGAAAGGTTTCTGTTAGCACTCATTTTTCTCTTGTGGGTAGGATGTTTTGTTGGTATTGGTTGTTTTTAATTTGGACTCCGCTTGTAAACCTGAATCTCTCATCATGCGATCCGTGCATTCGCATAACCAGGTCAGGCCAAGGAGTCACCTGGACCCTATTGTACATACCCATTTCTCATGCCAGGGAAAGGTCCAAGGGACATGCATACATAACAAGACCACCTATTCCGTCTGCCATTGGGGAAGTCAATACACTTGCTTTGACCCACAGTACTCCCCAAATGAAGATTGGTTAGAAGTCTGATCTTACCAGGAAGAAGGGGCCTTAATTAGCCAGACACGAATTACAAACCCCAAACGTCCGGTGTCAGTACTGTTTGATGTGTGTGCGGTTATTGGTCTAGGCCCAGAAGCATCCGTTATACGGAAAAAACGGGAACTTGTCATGGAGGGTCAAAAAAACTCTTGATATACCACGTGGAGGCTTAGATTGGGAGCGAAAATATCGCCTCAATGACAAATACATGTGTGAGGAAAATGGTTTATGTGCCTGTACCCCTGAGTTTCTATGCCCTAGTTGGAGCTGTGTTTCATGGGCCACTTGGAAAAAAAAAGGATGCAACAGCTCTCCTTCAAAAGGGGGCTGCTAGATCAGATTGTCAGTCAAAAGCCTGTAACCCTGTAAATTTCACTATCATTAATTTAGAAGACTACAAATGGCAATGGGGCATTCGAATTGGTATTCGAATTTATGGAAGAGGCAGAGACCCAGGGACTGTACTATATTTTAAGAGGATCACTGCCACCCATCCAGCCACGTCCCACCAAGTTTTTCACTCCTTCTATGAGGAAATAAGAAGTAGTCCCCCTCCCATTTCAGTCACAGCAAAAATTTGTTTCTGGCCCTGGCAGAGACTATAGCCCAGACTCTGAAGATCTCTTCATGCTATGTATGTGGGGGGACCAACATGGGGGATCAATGGCCATGGGAGGCCAGAGAATTAGATCCCCTCGAGCCTTATGATGGAACGAATTACCCCAGTTCTGCAGCCAGGGTTTGGCTCCTGAAAACCTCAATCATTGGGAAGAACTGTCTTGCCCGATGGGGGAAAAAGTTCACCATCCCTGTCGGAAACTTAACATGCCTGGGCCAAAGGTTTTATAATTCAACCACCTGGGAAACCCAATGGTGGGGGTCCCCAGGGCACCATGAGCCAAATCCTCACCCCTTGTTTAACTTCTCTCATCTCCGGGAGGCCTGGGACAACATAGACGCTGCCATCGAATGGCGGGCCCCAGGGGGACTATATTGGATATGTGGGAGAACAGCCTATACAGTACTCCCTTCAGGCTGGTCAGGGTCATGTGTGCTGGGAACTATTCGCCCATCCTTCTTCCTACTCCCACTTGCAGAAGGAGAACATCTGGGAGTTCAAATATATGGAGATAGGAAAGTTCAAAGAAAGCAGCGTGTCTTGCAAATTGGCAACTGGAAGGAAAATGAATGGCCTCCCAAACGAATAATTCATTATTACGGCCCTGCTACGTGGGCCGAGGATGGGTCTTGGGGCTACCGCACCCCCATTTATATGCTAAACCACATAATTAGGCTACAAGCAGTTGTAGAAATTATAACCAATGAAACTGCTAGGGCTCTTAATTTACTTGCTAAGCAGCAAACCAAAATGCGCAATGTAATCTACCAAAATCGCCTGGCCTTAGATTACCTGCTTGCTTCTGAGGGTGGTGTTTGTGGAAAATTCAACCTGAGCAACTGCTGCCTACAGATAGATGATGAAGGAAAAGTCATAGAGGAGATCACAGATCGAATGAGAAAAGTTGCTCATGTCCCAGTCCAAACCTGGAATGGTTGGAACCCCAGAGAGTTATTTGGAGGATGGTTTTCATCTTTCGGGGGATTCAAAACCCTCATAGGTATTGTCCTCCTAATTCTGGGAGGATGTTTGATCGTACCCTGCTTGGCTCCCTTGATTATACGATCAGTCTCCAGTCTCATTGAGACTATAGTTGAGAGAAAAACGGCTGCTCATGTAATGATGTTATGGAAATATAAACCTCTAAGCCAGGATGATGCTCTCTGACCCAAAATAGAGGGGTCCGAGCATCAAAGGGGGGAATGTGGTAGGAACCCCTCCCTAAGGAGAAAGAAAAAAATGAAGAAGAGAGAAGAGAAGACTTCAAGGTCACCTAGATATGAGTCCAGCTGCCTACATCCCACATGTTCTTATAAACTGAAACAACTTAATCAGACTACATGTTTATGTGTATTACCATATATGGGAGACAAAGAAATAGAAAATGAATAAAAAAACCTATGCCATATGATGTGGGCCGCTCAGTTGTTTTGGGTACGAACCCAACTGAGCGGTGCCAGCAAAATAAAGTTGCTTCCTGGAAAGAAAGTCTCGGTGTCACCACTCTCTGAGCGAGAATCCTGCAACATGGCTATGGGTGACACTCCAATCCCACCTGTTACAACTTTCACCGCCTCTCGGGGTCTCTAAGCTCGCATGCCTTCCCTCCTCTTTTCTCTCTCTACACTGCCCGCTGGATATTTGCGCAAACCTGTCTTCCAGCTCATTAATCTTCAGCTACCAACAATTAGCTACTAAGCCATCTACGGGGTTCTTAATTTTGTGTATTGGGGTTTTAGATTCTAGGCTTTTCTTTTGATTCCTTTTTATAAATTCCTGTTCCCTGTTAAAAAAAAATATTCTCCACTGTCATCTCTATTCTCGAACATATGAATCACCTTTATTTTGATTTCCATGTCTGGGTTCTGGTCATCAGCAGCTCTGTGTCTACTGTCACTTTTTTCTTCTGCTCCTGTTTCTTGGTAGATCTTGGGGATTTTTTTTTTTTTATTAAATACCAGATGGTGTTAAAACTTCAAGGACTCTGGATAATGCACGTCTTCCTCCAGACAGAATTCGCTTTAGATTTTGGCAGCTACGTAGAGAGGGACGGAGCTGAGTTGAGGCTGTAGCTGCATTGGAGGCTTGGTCTAGTTCAAGTTGACTCTTTGCCTTGGGCAGAGCCTGGCAGTTGGCTCCCAGGAGAGAGTCTCAGTCGATCATCAGACGGCTCGTCCTCGGTGGGTCCTGGGCACCAGCTCTGGGCGTCCAGCACCGAGAAACTGCCAAAATATCTTCATACCCTTTCAGGCTCTTAGCCGTCAGGCTCTCATCCTCGGAGCACAGGTGGTTTACAAATTAGGACCCCGTTTAAGTAGTTAATAGCTGCTGTGCAGAGTGTCGGGCTTGTGTCTCTCTGTCTCTCTTCTCTCCTGATTCTGAGCCCTGGTTACCTGAGTAGCCCTGATTTTTTTTTTCTCTCCCCCATTCTGTAAAAATGCTGACAGTTCTGATTGACCATCACCCTCTGCTCGTTTCTCTGGTCCTTGCTTCATGCTTCTTGGGAATCCGCAAAAGCCTTGAGGGGAAGAGGTGGAGAACAGAGTCCCCTTCTTTCAGGGACCTTGACCCCTCACGTGCCTCTCGCCTTGCTGTATTGTATGTATGACCTTACCTTACTTGTCTCCGCTCAGCTCAGCCCTCACATCCTCGCTCCAGGCCCGAAAGGCTTAGGTGTGCTGTGGCTTCTGCGTTCCAGCGTGTGCTGACTTGCGATGTCCACCCCTCCTTCCCGGCTGTAGTCATGGCCGAAGGAGCATCAGAAGTTCATGGGTACGGTGGGGGGAGGGGGGAGGGGCCTTGATCCGTGCAACGGGATGGGAACGAATAAGAAAGACTTTCTCTCCCAGACCAAAAGTATCTTCCGGCTTCTCAGTCCCCAAACTTCCATCTTTGGAGAATTCCTCTTTGTCCCCATTATGATGCAAGTGCCTCTTGAGAGAAGCCACTGACTGTCGTCAGTTTCTAGATGAGGCTTATTTTCTCTTTCCAGTGAGACGGCTCACTTTGAAACGAGGTCTTCAGAAGGAAGGGTGTGAAGGGGGAATGCAGGCATCGGACGCATCTGTCACGAAGAGGGCAGCCTCACCTGGAGTCAGGCCGTGCGGTGACCTCTGGACTGGCCCCCAGTCCCTCCAGAACCCCAGTCCCTCCCCACCTAATCTGTTTCCCAGGCTACCTCCAGATTATGTAAATTTGTTCATTTTTTGTTATTATAAAAGTGAAAGCATGCTCATTAAAATAAAAAAGGATGGTTGGGGCGCCTGGGTGGGCTCAATGGTTAAGTGTCCAACTTGGGCTCAGGTCATGATCTCATAGTTTGTGGGTTCAAACCCCACGTCGGGCTCTGTGCTGACAGCTCAGAGCCTGGAGCTGCTTCAGATTCTGTGTCTCCCTCTCTCTCTGCCTCTTCCCCTGCTCACACTGTCTCTGTCTCACTCTCTCAAGCATAAATAAACATTAAAAATTTTTTGATAAATAAATAGGGACGGGGTGCCTGGGTGGCTCAGTCAGTTAAGCGTCTGACTCTTGATGTGCGCTCAAGTCTTAATCTCAGGGTCCTGAGTTCAAGCCTCTACACCGGGCATGAAGCCTCCTTAAATATAAATAAATAAACAATAAAACAAAATAAAAGAGGTAATATAAAGAAGAAAAGAAATTTTTCAAAATTCAACTACCCAGCCTTCCAAATTTTTAAATGCTTATTTACACACATAGCTATGATACCAGTTAGCTATTGCCACAAAGAACACTTTATAATCAACCATCCTTGAACCCAGGGGCCTAAAACAATGATCATTTATTTCATAAACTGTATGTTGCCTAAGGTCTGTTGATCCAGACTGCGCTCAGCTGGGGGGCTCTGCAGATCTTGGCTGGGGGGCTGGTTCTGCACCATACACGTCCCCCCTCCTCCTCCTGAGGCAGGCGGCCGGCCTGAGAATGTTCTTCCCATGACCAGAGCCTGGGTGCAGAGGCCGAGTGGAAGTACCCTCAGTACCGGTTCACCATTGCTTCCGTCCCATCCTCTGGGCAAAGCAAATCACGCAGCCAAACCCTGTCCACGGATATGCAGGCGTGTCTCACGCAAAATCACAAGGGCAAGGGCATGGATTCAGGAGGGGTGGAGAGTGCAACATACCACAGGTCTGCGTTATAGACGCCACTGGGCTAGCTGCACTTTTTTTTCCCTTGACGTCAGTAGATATCTTTTCAGGTAGATATCTTTTCAGGTCAAGCGCTCCTGTTGCACATTGTTATTTTCAATGATGGAACAATGTTTCAACACACGGGTGTGGTTTAATTTATTTAATCATAGAGTTACATTTTCAAAGTCCAGTCCTGACCAGCTAACTCTTAACTTGTAACTTCTCAGGACCCCTGTCCGAGCCCAGGCTGCCGGGATAAAATACCACAGACTGGGCAGTGTAAGCAACGCTCATTCCTCATGGCTCTGGAGGCTGGGAAGTCCAAGATCAAGGTGCCAGCGGGTTCGGTGCCTGGTGAGAGCTCTTTTCAAGACGTCTCTTGCGGCCGCTGCCGCCTTGCTGTGCCCTCACGCGGCAGAGCCAGAGTTCGTCTCTCCGGTCTCTTCTTACAAGGGTGCTGATCCATCCATGAAGACATCACCCTCATGACCTCATACTTCCCAGACGCCCCGCCTTCTAATGCCATCGTGCATTAGGGCTTCTGCGTGTTCATTTTGGAGCGACACAAACAAATGGTGAGTAGGAGGTCCCGCGCAGGGCCAGATCCCAAGCCCAGGCCTGCTGTCTGAGACCCACGGTCCTCCACAGCCTGGCCCCAAACGATGGCTCCTGTTCCGTCTCCTCTGCACCCCCTCACACCCTGTTACAGCGTTTTGCAACCCCTCTGTTCTCCCTGATCGCTGCATTGGTCAAGATAACGTCAGCTCCTGTAACAGATAGTCTCCACATCGGTAGCTGAACCCAGAGAGCAGGACCTCACTCAGGTTCACTTAACCATCAGTAGTGGGGGAGGGTGTCTCTGTTTTGGGCATCATTCGGTTGCTAAGGTCCCTGCGACCCGTTAGGGAGGCCACCGTGGGTGCCTCCAGCCAGCCAGCAGGGGGGAGAGAGAGCGGAGAGGACGTAGGGACCAGGCTCAGAAGTGGGGGAGTCACATCTGCTCACCTTCCACTGGCCAGAAGTCAGGCGCGTGCCCTAATACCCGCAAGGGAGCTGGCAGAGGTCAGCTGGCCACGTGCCCCGGGAGGAGCAGGAGAGGCGTGTGACCTGTGCCCAGCAGCCCAGGATCCTGGTGGCCCAGGATCAGGCCCCTCCTTCTGCCTGGGACACCTCTCGCCTCCCCACCGGGTTACTCATTCGTACGTTCCGTCCACTCCAGGCTCTTCCCAAGGAAGCCCTTCACGCTCCAGGCGGAGTCGAGCCCTCTCCCAGCCCCCACCTAACCCCTCCACCCCGAGGCTCAAGGCTCGCTCACACCTCCCCTCCACCACCTCCACCCCACGTCCTTAGCTCTCAGGTGCCGTGCCTGCGCTTTCGTGACCCTGACAGCCGGCGCCACCTTAAATGGTGCCCAGCCCACTCCCTCCTCCGAGGACTCTCTGCACACCCATCTCTCCGCCCTCCCCACCCGCTCTCTACCCACCTTTGTCCACCCGTCTTTCCAAAAGGCCAGTGTGATCACGTTCCCGCGTCCGTTGGCTCAGGAGGAGTCAGCCACCCCTACCCGCCTCTGAGCTCCCGGCTTCCTGGGCGAGGGCTCCGTCCCCCGGGACCTGCGCTGCCCCTCCGCCCGCCTCCCACCCACCACCCGCTCAGACGCTTCCTCACCCTCCCGGCCACAGCGGCTCAGTCTTTCATTCCCCCCACCACGCCCTCCTCCTCCCTGTTCCCGCCTAGACTGCCAGCCCCTTGGGGACAGCGCCCGTCCCCGGGTTCCCACAGCTGGTGGGGCGCCGGCCACGTTGGTGCTTCAGATGTTCACCAAGTAACCGCGTGGCGGGGTGAGCGGGGAGCCAGGGGGTGACGCCATGATGTCAACGCCATGATGTCAATGCCATGATGTCAACGGGAGAAGAGAAAGAGGGAGGAGGAGACTGGGGGGGGGGGCAGGAAGGGGAAGGCAGCAGCAGTGAGGAGCGAGCGGGAGAGGAAAGGGTGGGAGAGGAGGGGAGTGCAAAGCTCCGGGAGACCCCAAGGCCCAGTGACCTCTGACCTCTCACTCCAGCCCCCAGCCCGGGGCCGCCCCCACCTGCACCGGGGCAGGAGCCCCTCGGCAGGACTTGTGGGGACAGGAGGCAGAGGCAGCAGCGGAAGTTTCTTCTTGGCTTCGCCTCACCGCGTAGGGCTTTTCCTTGAAGCGATAGGAGAGGAGAGAAAGAAAGAGCCACCCCTCCATTGGGGGCATCCTTGGGGTCTGTGGCGGCGCGGGGTGGGCGGAGGGGTGAAACTGCGTGGGCTGCACGATTCCCAGAGAGCCAACCTCTGCAGCGCCTCGGGGAAGGAAGCCTCTGGTCTAGGAGTCCAGTCCAATATCCAGCCAGACATTTCTTCCGGAGCCTTCCATGGTCCCAGTGGATCTGAGCCCTCAACAAAGTACAAGACTGTCGCAAACACACAGCGTCCCTGACCCCCTCCCGAGTGCTCTCCCAGCTCCTTTCTTCTGGCCACATCCAGACAAAGTCTTAATTAGATGCTCCTCTCCTTGACATGTTAGAGTCCCTCCCACCCATCCCTACATTGTGGAGCTCCCGGAAGCTCTAGAGCCTCTCACTGTCTTCTCACTCTTCTCTACGTGCCTCATCTCCAGAACTGGCCAGAACCAAGCTCTTGATGTTTTTCCCCATCAGTTTGCTCCCCTCCCACTCTTCCCGCCTTGGGGACTGAAGCGCCACCCACCAATTACACACACCACAGTCGTCCCTGACAAATGCCTTCCTTCCCCTCCAGCCCCACCAAGTCCAGAAGGAATCTGGAATCCACCTGTTTCCCTCCATCCCCATGGCCACCCCGCCCCCAGTACATGCCGCCATCTTGCTTCCCATCCGGCCCCCCCGTCCGATCTAGCCCTGCCCACTGCAGCCAGAGCAGTCTCGCAGAAGGCCCCGCACGACCGTGGAAGAAGCCTGTGCAGATGAGGTCATGCTTCAGAGCCTAGATCTCCCACAAACTCCCGAAGGTGCCCCAATACTCTCCACCCTGCGTCCCCCACCCAGGCCTCCACAAGCACCCTTCCTTCTGCCCAGCCTAACTTAGCTCTGCTCTCTCCACATGCTCACATGGTCTACAAATGGTGTTCTATGTTTTCTTGGCTTTTCCCAATTAATCCTTACAATAACCCTGGAGGTGGGCTCTGTGAGCATTCCTATTTTGTAGGACACAGGGGCTGAGTGCCAAAGACACTTAGCAAGGGAGCGGGTTAGTAAGTGGTTGAGGTGCGATTCAAAAGCCGCCATGGTCTGTCTAGTCTATTGTGGGCACATCGCCAGCTGCCAGCCTCCCAGCTCTTGGCCCGTTCTTTTTTACCAGAGGTCTCTGAGGCCCTACTATGTGCCTGGCATACTCACAGGCACTGAACAGCTTCAACGCCAACCACTCCAACATGGAAATCACGTTTTTCCTTCTACATAGGATCCCATATGCTTCCGCCATTTCCTTGTCGGTTTGTAGCTGGCGTTGACTTGCATGACTGCCTGTCCACCTCCTTCTAGACCGTAAGCCCCAGGAGGGCAGAGTTAGCACAGCCAGCCCACGGCCGG